CTAAGGTGCCACAAGTACTCCTGTTCTTCTTTTTGTGTAGTTTGAGTGCCCCCAAGTGGTAGAAATCCTCAGGTTCATACAAGAGCATTATGCAAGTAAGGAAGAATATTGTACAAAACAGCCAACCTTCTGAAACGGTTATGAGTTTTCCAAAGTACATGAAGAATTAGGTCACAGGCTTCATCAGCAAGATTTATGTAAAGAGGAGATTATGGGTCATTTATAAGCCTTTCACTTATTGATTCCTTCAAACAGGATAAAAGTTCTGTGTGATAAAAACATTCTGAATACCACAGTAGTATAAGTTAGTGGTTTCTACCAGGGGTACACGTATCCCTGGGGGTACGCAGAGGTCTTCCAGGGGGGTACAATAACTCATCTAGATATTTGCCTAGTTTTACAACAGGCTACATAAAAAGCACTAGCGAAGTCAGTACAAACTAAAATTTCATACAATTATTTGTTTCTACTGCGCTATATACTATACACTGAAATGTAAATCAATTGGAATATAAATATTGTACTTATTTTAGAATTGTATGGTAAAAATGAGAAAGTAAGCAATTTTTCAGTAATTGTGTGCTGTGATCATTTTGTATTTTTGTGTCTGATTTTGTAAGCAAGTAGTTTTTAAGTGAGGTACGCAAGACAAATCAGACTCTTGAAAGGGGAACAGTAGTCTGGAAAGGTTGAGCGCCACTGATAAAAAGCGTTAACACTGATAGGATGAAATCATACAGAGAAGTAGAGCTACATGACCCGAGATGGAGATTGATGATTATTTTTGTTTTCTGAATAAATGACAGGGGTTTGCTACTTTTTTGTACATTCCTATATATTTTATATCATTTACTAAGTCAAAAAACACATAATTCACAGCTCATCTTAGATGATTTTTACTTGAGGCAACTTGCTGATTTAGACCCAGTGTGTGAAAGATTTTTATTTTCATTCTTCATTTAAAACACATGCTAGCCACGTGTTAATTCAACCAGTGTTTCTGGATTTAAATTTATGATGCTGGACCTTCTCTGAAAATCAAATTCAGACTGACATTTGAGAAATTGTTTCACTTCTAAAGTCTATTTCAGTAAATATGAACATTTCTTTGCTCCAGAGTATTCAAAACAGAAGGAGAATGAATATCAAAAATATCTCAAAGGCAGAATATGAAAACTAGGAAGTTTTATTAATTTGGCAGACGATAGAAAATTTTACTAGGAGTTTAACATGACCTAATCAAAATGATAAAGTACAGTGGTTGGATAGCTTATGAGTTTAGAGTTTTCTGCACTTAAGAGAGCAGGAGTCATGTTATAGTATTATCAGACATTAACTGTTACCCTTATTCCAAGGCTGGATGCACAGGGGCTTGTTGGTAATTGGACTCCGCAGGGGGGTCCAGGTAAAGGTGGTTGGGGCTGGGGGGAGGGGGGTAGAGATGCATTTCTGGGTGTGACAGAGCTCAGCAGGGGAGTCTGGGTGTCAGGGACTCAATGGGGGATTCAGATGTTGGAGGAATGGGGCTCAGTGGGGTAGGGATCTGGGTTGCTCATCGGGATGGTCCAAGTGCAGGGGGAGTGGGGCGGGGATTCAGGTGCAGCTAGTTGGGGCTCAGTGGTATAGGGGTGCAGGTGGCTCGTTCGGGTGGTCCAGGTGCAGGGAGAGTGGGGCTTATCGGGGGAGGGGGTCTCAGTGTAGAGGGATAAGGCTTGGCAGGAGGGTCTTGGGGAGAAATCTGGGGGTAGGTCTGACCCGGCCCTGATGTCATGCAGGTGAAGAGGAAGTACTGTCCTCCCCAGTACCGTCCACACTGATTTACCTTTCTGCCAGCTGCCCTGGGCACCCAAAACGTACTGCTGGGAAGGGTCACATGCTCGCTTCCCTGTCAGAAAGACATTTTCTGCAGGGAAGCAAAGAAATCTGCGGGGGCGGGGGGGGAAGGGGGAGATAAAAGAGAAGGGTAAATTCTGCGTATGCACAGAATTCCCCCAGGAGTAGCATATGCTGCTGCTGCTAACTGGTTTTCCCAGGCAACAGGAGAGTGAAATATTCTTGCAAATTTCACTGCTGAAACACCAGGCTATTCTGGTATTCACTGAATCACTCATGGTTAATGAACTACTTTATTTCATCTCATTTCTGTGCATTGTGTCCAAGGAAGTTACAAACTGCCTGCCTCCCAAATACTGACCTCAACCAGAAATGAAAATGCCCACAATAGAAACCCAAAATCTCTATTTGGCATTCATAAGTCAGACCTTGCAGCTGAATTCCGTACCATTACAGGGAACATTAGCTAACTGTTCAAGCCATATGTGCAAAACAATTAAATTAAGCAAGAAGGGATGCATGGAAGAGAGTGACTGAGCACTCCTCTCGGAAGTGTTTAAATGATTAAAATTTTATGCAGTCACCTATCCTATTATGCATATTTTCCTAGCTATTTTTGCCTCTGACTGCAGTTTTACACTAGTGATTTAGGAAGAATGAATTATCTTTAGAGCATTTTGGAATACCAGCAACTAATTTCACATAGAGCTGGCAGGATCTTACTTTCCACTACCTTTCTTCTAAATCCCTGTCAACTTTCCGGCTGCTGTATTTCTTGGAAGATTCCATGGCAGAATTGTGACAACTACAGGAAACTCAAACAGCCTGCAGGCAGGCAGGCAGGCAGGCAATCTATTATGACCTCGTAAACAAGCAGGAATCTAGTTCAACCTGCTACAGATAGCACATGTGGAGTAACACAACAGTATTATTTTTAGAAATAAAGTGGACCCTTAAAAGACTTGTTTCCATCCATAGCAGACAGAGATAACCAGCCTTATAGTTCCCAATGCAGTGTCTGAACACTGATGGAGAGCGCCAGTTAGATGGTGACTTTAGTATTTAGTGCACTTACCCTGAAATTGACTCTGTTCCTGACCCGTTGTGCCAATGCTGAATTTATAGCCTTGTCAAACTGAAGTAGTACTTGAAGGGCAAGTTGAGGGGTGATCTGCTGAGACTATGGTTTTAAAAAAAAAAAAGGACTTTATAACTGACTCAAAAATGCATGAAAATGGATTATCAGCGCAAAGCTTTCATGTAACAAGCCTCAAGATGTAGACTAGTTTTTCCAGTAGCTTTATTGGAAATATATATTTATGACTTTATATTTAATGAAGAAAATGGAGTAAGGTGAAATTTGTTAGTTTTTGTAACTTTGTGGGGGAGACAAATGTGACCAACATGCAGAGAGAATTTTCCAGAAAACATGCAGTAATTCCCACATTTGAATGGTCTTTGCATCCATGGCCTGCAGCCTCCTCTACAGACATACAAAACTAGGGATTAACATCGGATTTCAACACATCAAAATTGTCAGTTCACTCTGGACCAGGGGTGGGCAAACTACAGCCCGCGGGCCGGATCTGACCCCTCAGGGCTTTGGATCCAGCCCACGGGATTGCCACCCCCGTGGCACGGCAGGTCCTGCACCGCTCCCAGAAGCGGCCGGTACCACGTCCCTTCAGCTGCCAGAGAGCTCCACGCGCTGCCCTTGCCTGTGGGTACCTCCCCCAAAGGTCCCATTGGCTGGGAACGGGGAAACATGACCAATGGGAGATTCGGGAGAGGTACCCACAGGCAAGGGCAGCGCGTAGAGCCCTCGGCCCCCCTCCCCAGGAGCTGCAGGGACGTGGTGCCAGCTGCTTCCCAGAATGGTGCTGGGGCAGGCAGGCAGCCTGCCCTGGCCCCAGTGCGCGCCACTGCCACCCCGGAGCTGCTCCAGGTAAGCAGGGCCGGGCCAGAACCTTCACCCCGAACCCCTCCTGCACCCCACAACCCAAGCCCCTGCCCTGAGACCCCCGCTGCACCTCGCACCCCCTGCCCTGAGCCCCCTCCCACACTCTGCGCCCCTCCCTGCACTACTGCCGAGCCCCCTCCCGCATCCCAATCCCTCCTGCACCCCAACCCCCTTCCCTGAGCCCCCTCATATACCCCTCCTCTGTCCCAACCCCTTGCCCTAAGCCCCTTCCTGCACACTGCACCCCCCCCACACACACCCTGAACTCCCTCCCGCACCCCAATCCTCTGCTCCAGCCCTATATTCATGGCCCTGCATGCAATTTCCCCACCCCGATGTGGCACTTGGGCCAAAAAGTTTGCCAACCCCTTCTCTGTACCCAGGATCTCTTGATTAGTGACTCATCAAGCCAAACTTGACAGAGACAACGTCAGCCTGCGGCACAGTACAAAGTTACTTGGCAAAATCAATTGCAACTACTGGAAATCTGAGATTTGATGAGACAGATGAGTCTCAGAGTCCAATAATTAAAATGCAAAGAGAAGGAAAAAAGAGGTTTTTGGTAGTTAGCTGGCACTCATGAGGAAGCCTAAAAAAGGCATCCTGAAATTGTTTATCACCCCAACTAGGTTTCCTACTCTTTATATGAAAGTTATTAACAAAGGTTTCTTTACTTAGGGAAAAGGAACAAGTTGGCTATTTTAGAGGTTTTTGTTACATCAAAGATACTGGGAAAACCACCTGTGCTAAGTATCCATTATGGATGATTGGAATAGCAACATCAAATAGGTAGTTTCAGGTTGTAAGTCACACGTTCATTTACTAGGATACACAAAAGTTGGTCACTTCATCTGCATAAGATGCTTTTCTTCAACCCAAGTACTCAAGTGAGAAACTTGCGTTCATATTTCAATGAAATGCTAAATGGCAGTTTTAATTTTTATTTTTAACTTCATATGACAGTTTGATTTTTCAAGTTATCAACTACAGAAAAATGAGTAACATACCTGCATTTGAAGCTCAGTGCTTTTAGTACTTAACACTGTCTAGCTGAGTAGTTTGGAAATTTAGTTAAACTATTAGCTCACTGCTCAATCACACTTCACATTAAGCTACTTGTCTCCCACCTGTATGAGCTCATCCAAGCTCTCCTGAAGGCTGTTGCCCAATGTGGTGTTTCTATACAGTTGATACGCCATGGTTTATAAAGACCAGAGAAGTGTTACTGATCATCCACAGCTATGAAACAGCCAATACGACTCACACTTTCATTGAAGGCCTAGAAAATCCAATACGACAATTACTGAACTATGTAGAGGAATTCTGAACAGAAAAAAAAATAATCAAAAGCAGCAACATAGAGGAAAAAATGACCAGACAATTAATACCAAGCAGAATGCCTTTGATGTCAAATTGGATATAGCTTAATTCTTTGCTATTTAAAAAATATTAGCTATAAGTTGTCAAATTTTGCATTACATGATGGAAGAAAAAACAATATGACTGAACAGACAAATAAGGAATTTAATGCTACTCTATATCTTCTTTTCACAATGTTTTTCAATATTATTAATTCTTACTTTGGGTAAGTACGCCTCTACCCCAATATAACGCGACCTGATATAACACGAATTCGAATATAATGTGGTAAAGCAGTGCTCCGGGGAGGGGCGGGGGCTGCGCATTCCGGTGGATCAAAGCAAGTTCGATATAATGCGGTTTCACCTATAACGCAGTAAGATTTTTTGGCTCCCAAGGACAGCGTTATATCGAGGTAGAGGTGTATTTAATTATATTTCACCAGTTCCTTTCTGCAGATTTTTTCCAATACCTGTTTGCTCAAATATACAATTCTCACCACCACTTTCAAATTTTAAACAGAACCGATATGGCTGATTTAACATAACAAAAGTTTTTGAGCACCTTGCCTCAACCATGATCACCAGCCCAGCTCTGAGAAAAACGTACGAGTTACCTACAAAAGATATCAAGATGCTGCTTTTTTATTTTAAGAAATACTTTATTTGCTTACTGTTAGAATTAATGATGGATATTTTTAATACAGACAACTTTACTCAAAACAAACAAACAAACAAACAGTCTTACAGAATCGGTGAACAGCATCAGACAGACTGAAATCTTATACCCATTACCCATGAAAAGAGTACTGGCCTGGACCAGATTCTTCAGAGGAAAATTTAGCACCCCAATACCAACCATGACAGTCAAAATTCTTCCTAATAGCAAATAGGTAGCTGTTGGGTTACGTTCATTCCATTTTTTAGCCTTATAAACAATATAAAGAGCTAGTCTTTTAACAGCATTAATGTAGGTTACAAAGGTAACAACAAGCACATGCTACAACCTTAACATATCCTGTATATTTTGTTTCTCTCATTAGGCAAAGCTCAGTGCCCAGCACACAGGACACTGCACAGGACAAAAGGGAAGAGAAAATCTGGCAAAAGGGACTAATGTCAAGGGATTGTTGCGGTGTTGGAGGCACATTCCTTCCTCTTCACAAGAATCACAGCACTTAGGTCATCAAACCGTGGGGCAAGAAGGGGCTTTGAGAGTTCAAATAATGCAGCCCCTATGTTGAGGCAGGACCAAGTAAACCTAGCCCATCCTGACAAGTGTTTATCCAACCTGTTCCCCAATTATGGGGATTCCAGAACCTCCCTTGGAAGCCTGCTCCAGACCTTAAATCAGAGGTGCGCAAACTACGACCCGCGGGACCATCCTGCCCGGCCCCCGAGCTCCTGACCCAGGAGGCTAGCCCCCGGCCCCTCCCCTGCTGTCCCCCCTCCTCTGCAGCCTCAGCTAGCTCGCTCACGCCGCAGCCGGTGCAATGCTCTGGGTGGCGGGACTGTGAGCTCCTGGGGCTAGCGCAGCTGCAGAGCCTGGCCTGACCCGGTGCTCTGTGCTGTGTGGTGGTGGCGGCGTGGTGCGACTCCAGCTGGCCGGTGCAGCTGTAGCACCTGGAGCCACTAGTGCTCAAGGCAGCACAGTAAGGGGGCAGGGAGCGGGGGGTGGGGTGGGGGGTGCTGGATAAAGGGCAGGGAAGTTTGGGATGGTGGTCAGGGTCAAGGCAGGGAACATGAGGTTGAATGGGGGCAG